GAGGAGGACAGCGGCGGCAGCGGACCGGGTAAGGCGGCGTCGGGGCGGAGGCGAAGGCGGTCGAGCAGCGGGGCTGCGGAGCGGGGAGGAGGCTGCGGAGGTGGACGGGAGTCGGGAGAGAGAGGGGAGCGACTGCGGCACGGGGCGGCCGAAGCGGGGCTGGCAGCGGTTGGCGAGCGCGGCGCGCAGCTTCGGTCGGAGCGACGACGGCGCGAGGCGGTCGGCGAGGTGCGGTCGGGCGGAGGAAGAAGCAGAAGCAGAAGCAAGGGTCGGGGGCAGAAGAGACGAAGAAGAAGAGGAAGGGAAGAGGGAGAAAAGAAAAAGAAAAAGAAAAGAAAAGAGGAGACGGAAGGAGGAGACGTGAGCGGAAAAGAAGGGAGAGGGACGTGCATGCATGCATGGGCGGACATGCGCGGGCGCGAGAAGGAGGAGAGAGAGAGAGAGAGAGAGAGAGAGAGAGAGAGAGAGAGAGAGAAAGCAATGATCGCGATCCAACGGTCACGATTCGAACCCGAAAACTATTCCACGGTCCACAAAAATCCTAATTATAATTTAGGAAAAAGGGCCAAAAGAAAATAACCCAAAACACACTACGAGGGAGGTCTACTAGTCCAAATTCGCACCCGGTCAAAAATCCACTTTCTCACTATTCCTGACAATCTCAACGCTGGCTACGATAATATTGACACCGTCCAATTTATTTCGTCCCGGAACTTCCAAGAAATTCGACACCAAAGTTTGGGCTCTAAATAACGGCCAAATTCGATCGAGTGCGATTCTAGCGAAATCTCAAGATTTAAAAATAATAACCGGGAGTGATCAGTTCCCGGGCGAGATTTTTACTATAAGCGCACTGACGAAATACCCGTTTTATAAATCCCAAAAATGGGCCAAAATTCGGAATGTCACAATATAGATCGTTAGCTTAGAAGTAAGACACTTCAATAAATGAGCAACTTGCTCTGATACCAATTGATGTAGCTAGCAGGGATCACCTATAGAGGGGTGAATAGGTGATCTTAAACAATTTTTGATAATTTATGCGGAAATAAAATAAATCACAGTAGAGTCTGAATAAAATTCAGATTCAAGACAGATTATAAAGACGGTGCTCTTGATGTGCAGAATGTAAAGTAAGAGATAAGGGATAGAGAATCTGCATACAAGTTTATAGTGGTTCGGCTTATAGCAAGCCTACGTCCACTCTCCCACGCTTTACCTGCCTACCACGAATTTCACTATGTAATCAAGAGGAATTACAACTTCGAGTGTTAACACTCTTGTGTATGATAGGACTCTCTATCTCACACAATCACTCTTACAAAGTGTCCCTCAAGATCTTAATGTTTTGCTCAGAATGACAAGAGAAATGATTGGAGTATGCTCAGACTTTGGACTTGTTGATTCTTGATTCTGTACTTCCTTCTGCTGCTCGTTGATCCTCTTAAATACTCCTCTACTAGCCGTTGGACAGCTTTCAGAGGATCATCTTCCAATCTTCACCTTGGACAGATTTGTATAATAAGGATTGAGTAGCCGTTGGATGACGGTCTTCGAATCCCGCGATTCCGTCGCCCATACAATCGAATCTTGGTTTCCATAAGTAGAGCTTTGTCTCGTTGTAATGCATTCTTGTCGTGATGTTTGATTGTCAATCAATTTGATTGAGATTGAGACAATCGAAACATTCCTTCATGAAATCCATGCCGGATTACTAGGCTGTTGTGTTACGTTACGAATTACGCATCTCAAGAAATTCACGTCTGCATCCGAAGAACTCTTCGCGTGCTCGTCTAATTAATTTCTTCGTCTGCATCTGCATCTGAATAACTTCTGCTTCTGCATCTGCATCTAAATAACTTCTGCGTCTGAATCTCAGAACCTAGATTATGCGGGTCTTCAAAAACATACTTGACAGTTTGTAAAGTCTGAATAACTTTCTTCTGAGCTTCCAGAATATACAGACCTGGAATAAATTTGTTCAGAATAAGTATCAGATTTACAATAACATAGAAGGTTTTGTCAACTTCAAAATCAATAGAAGTTTTCCTCAACAGTAATCGTGTAAAAGATTAAGTGTATCGGTTGAAAGTAGCACCTAATCTCTGATCATCTAAAAGGACTGGTGTGTGTCGAGTGTAAATTGTTCAGCAGATTATTAGTGCCATCTAGCCTGACTTGTGGCTATTAGTGGTGAAAGTGGATGTAGGCTTAGGAATAAAGCCGAACCACTATATATTATTGTGCGCTACAATTTATTTCTCTTTTACTTACATAAGCACACAATCAGCTCACGGTATTTGAAACATCAACTCAATTTGTTATTTATGTAGCATCTGCTAATTTTCGCAAAAGATTGTCAAAACTTTTAAAACAACCTATCCACCCCCATTTAGATTGTATTGTTTAGCGCCAACGATATTAGCTGTATGAATAATAATAGTGACAATGATGGTTGTATGAATTATGGGATTTTATAAAGAGAGTAAATGCTCATAGAAATTTCGATGATTGGTCCAATCCGTAATATCTTTGTCTATTAAATACAGCAAGTAAATTATTACATGAGAGGAATGGCCCAGTGTAACCTGTGCCTTTTTATGGACGACAAAAGGCGGGAAGAGGGATCGTTTCACGCGGCTAGCACTTCGTTTACTTTTTGTGAAAAGCTTATAGGCTGATAGGAATAGATTATTATGGGCGCAACATGCGAAAATGGCACACTAATTATCTTTCCTTCGATAAATTTGACACCAGTAGTTTCTAGATATCCATGCAACATCATTTATATATTTTTAATTCGTTCTGTATACTTTTTGAACAGTTCTATTCAATGTAGTCCTTATATTTTCAATTTGTTCAATCTACTCCTTCAACTTTCCAAAACAAAGTCAACTATTCACAAATTTTATAATTACACTATTTGCCAGATTAGAAAAAAAACCTTTCATTTCAATCTTTTTATTACCCTTTTACCATTTTGGTCTTTTTATAAATATTATGATAGTATCATTTAAGTAAATTTTAGCTTGTCATCTTTATAATAGTACTTAGAATCTTATTTAGAGTCGTATCGTGCTGTTTTTCCTACTATTGTAATTATAATGATATTCAGAAAGGATATTAATTTATCTATAAGTACTAGTAGATTTATATTAATCTAAATCTTGTTTCTTATTTTTAAGATTGATAAAGTTTTTCAATGTTTTGTGTTTCGGGTTTTTTAATGAATAGGTAGGCCCTAATCTACCCTCACCTTATTCTCTTTTCTAATCTATTCCCACCCCCAAATACTAAAATATAATTAGTCAATCGGTAGAAAATAGAGCATGCCTCTTGCGCTTGCAACCTAGAAACCACGTTCTAGAGGAGTGCGTCAAAGTCAAAAAGGTTGGGTTGTGGTGGGGTAAGCACGCCATTTGTTATCGGATAGATTAATCTCATTTCTCACGCAAGTCTTTCTATATTAAGGGTGCAATCCAAATTTGAAACTTGAGCCGAAGACCATAAGCGAGAGCATACTCTCTTGCCATCTAAATCAACTCTTGTTCCTGACAAAACAAAAAGTCAACTCTTGTTGGCGTCTCTTCACTTTTTGTTTATGGAATAACCGATTGTCATCGGTTCGATCCAAAATTTTATGTAATAACAAAAGTAGAAAATGACGAGACGTGCCAAAAAGTGCTACCTTCTAGGCTCACATGACCAAAGTTTATGGGTAGTGCGAATGATTCGAATTATAGTCCGTTGATCTTCTTCAAATTGAATCTAGAAAGACTAAATGCTCAAGAATCATATGCGAGCCCATAAATTTATGAAAGCCAAGTCTTCCTTGGGCGCCTCCCTGTCGCGACCTCCCCGAACCGGCCTCGTCGTCTAAGGGGTTTGGCTAATAGATTACTAAGTTAAACCTAGTTCGAGCTCTCTCAAGCCCATACCAATTCGCGACTTAGATTTTAATTATTAACATGCGAATCAATTTCATCTAAGAGTCGCCATTAATCAGTTTTTTATGGGTCGATTAGATACCCAAGTAAAGCACGGGAGAAATGCTTCACTTCTTCGAACCAAAGATTCAATGGGTACGGGGACTTGATTACACTAATTGGCTAACTAATGCCATTTCGGTACCTAACCTTGCTTAATACACCACCTAACGTGTTCATGCAGCGATCATACTAGTTGTGGGTCCTAAAGTTCTATCCCTAACCAGGCTAAGGGAAGGAACAATCGGAAAGTGCACAATCAAGTAGTAATCAAAATTGAAATGCGCAAACAGCAGCCTAACTTGTCTCTAATCGACCACATGCAAAGTCGAATTAAACACGCAATTAAAACGTGCGAAACAAGCAACGTGCAATTAAGCATGACACTAAACACACGAAAAGGGCAAGAAGGGGCAATTCCAAAGCCCAGATACTATTTTTTTGGTTTTTGAAATTTTTTTTAATAAAAATATCAACTTTCAATCTGAAAATAGGGAATCGGGCCGGGCCTTGGGGCCCAGTCCGAATATGGACTGCGAACAGGCCACTTGGTCGTGCCATAGACAAAAGTGGGCCCTTTCTCAAGCCTACTCTAACCAACAACAAACCCAAATAAGCCAAATTAAACCCAACACTCACTACTCTTACAATAAAAACTAAGCCCAGACTCACCAAAATAATACTCTAAGCCCAAGGCTCACTAAGTCTAAATGAGCCCAAAGTCCACTACTATGGTACTACTCTCGGCCGCTCCTTCACAAATTTCCAACTCACGTCTCCTTCTTCAAGCATGCCCAGAACACCCAAAGATTTGCTTATCGACTCCAGAACATCTACATTCCAGCCATGAAGATTCTGTTTCACAATCAGTCGAAACGCGCCCAGTCACCGGACCTCTACCGTCCGCCACATATTCGACCATCGCCTATTCTCGACTACCGAACATTTGACATTCAAAATCACAAGATAAGAGGACCGAATATAGTAGAGTTCAAAGAAGCAAGCCAACGCGAATGTCTCAAAAGATTGACGTTTCAAGCATGGACATTTATCATTTCCTCATGCACAAGAATGCTCAAAGAAAATCTCATGCTCAGACTTGGTTCGACTATGAAAGTAATGCTCAACAAGCAACAAAGAGTTTATAACAATGTCGAACTTGCTTATACGCACGTAAGAACAAATGGAAATCAGCAAAGCCAGTACACGGGCTGAGTTGGGCGTACTGTCAAACACGTGGTGAACAAGAGTCGAGGATGAGACATTGAACATTTTTTTAAACTCAAATCGAGATATAGACCCAACGGAAACCATCACCAGACCAGCCAAAATAACCACATCAGCTCACCCAAACTTAGCACACCTACGGACCCCGAACAAAGAATGAGTGGGTTTTACGGTTCGGCCAAAACAGGGGAAGACGACGAAAGGTTCGCGGCGCAAGCGTCCAATCGCAGACCCCTACTTGGCTAGGAGACGACGGTTAAAGGGTGCACTCGACACAAATCGTTTCATGGCTGACTGCCTCGACGCCTCCGAGCCGAGATCCTCGGGTATGGGGGTTCGGGACCAAGAAAAGGGCTCACCGGAAACACGGACGCCGGGGGGTGGGGTGTCGGGGACGTTGGCCGAGAGAGGTCGTCGTTCAAGGCTCGGACGCCATGGTCGCCGTAGGATGCGACGTTCGTTCTCGACTCCGCTTCTCACTCTCGCAGATCTCTCTCTCCAATCTCTCCTTCTCTGTTCCAATGGCTTCCCCCCCTCTTTCTTAACCTGTTCTGGACGTGTGTTGACCGAGAGAAAGAAGAGAGCTCTGCCCTACATTGTCAGCTTTTCTTTGATTTCTTTCTCGAAGAAAACTTGCGGACACAATTTTTTGTGTCCTTTCTTCCTTTTGCTTCTTTTGTGAAAGTGTGTATGCAAACCGTGCCTGTCCATTTCCTTTTGTCTTCTCTCTCTTTTTTTATTTTTTTTTCTTATTTCTTTTTTTATAATGATTTTTTAAACTAAAAAATGAAATAAAATAAAAGGAAAATATGTTTTACTAAATTTTATTAATGCAAATGCGTCTAATATCATTAATGAAAATATTTTTATTTGGGGGTTAAAAATTAATCCCTAGGTTTTGTGCAACTAAACCCTAAATGACTAGGTAAAATTTAGATGTCAACACTCCTCAAGACAATAATTGGAAGAGGGTTGCTTAGTATTGTACAAATAACAAGCCAATAATAAACCTGAATTTTGCTTGGTATCCACTATCCATACATAATAACAACCATTTCGGAAGACAAATCTCGTAAAACCACTACGCATATCACAAAGAAAAGTCAACACTGAATATTCGAACATCTTTTCTCAAACTCAAGGTGATAGAAGAACAAATCTGTTTTAACACTAGATTGGGGAAGGGTCCAAAAAGATGAGCCTTAACGAATATATCTACATCTTGATTTAGAGATGTGATTGACACAACTCGAATGGTACGATCCAGAATATGTTGTCCAACACACGTTTGGACGTCGGCTCGTCAAATCCATTGTCCTTTGAGCAAACTTAGTGATTGAATTACCATAGTAAATATTAGTGACAATGAGATATTGATTGCTTGAGTTTATAAAAGGGAATGAATGCAATACAAAAATCGCACTGCAAAAGGAAATTTCAAGCGGAGTTTAATTGCAAACTTAACTAAAATCAAATGTGAGTGATTTCCGTACTTGAAACTCACCAATTTCGGAATTAGAATGTGCTCTTTCATTGCTGTGATCAGGAATTTTGCAAAATCCAAGCTAGGTCTATACTATGTACCTTGTTGCATTTTGAGCTACGAGGCCCATGTTGTGCCTCATAGCTCGTAGTTTAATGGAGGTTCCCTTTTTGAGCTGTGATCAATGTCAAGCTAACCTGAGTAGGGCCGGGCTCTTCAATATACACCATTGTTACTAGAGTAAAAAAATCGGAAGAGTCATAAACCGATTGCATTGATATCAATTCAGTTCTAAACCTTTCAATTGGATCAATTTAGCTCTAAAGCTTTTCATATTAGTACTAATTCAGTTCATCGGGCCAATTTAGGCCAGAGATTGCTTAGTGTTGACGCCGAACGCCCTACATGGCACGACTGACGCTGACACAGATATTTTTTTAATTTTAATATATATTTTTTAAAAAAATTATTAATTTTTCTTTCCTTTTTTCTTTCCTCCGTCTTTTTTCTTTCTCCATTAATTCCCTTCGCCCATTGCCAGCCCCTGTGATGGACGGCAAGGGCGAGGGCCGGATGCCTCGCTGGCCATAGGCGGCAAGGGTTGGGCAAGGATCGCCCGTTGGTAGGGTCACCTGGTTCTTCAAGGCCGGGAAGAACGGCGAGCGCGCTGGTTCTAGGGTTCCGGTCTACCTCTCTGCCGTCTTGGAGTATCTCGTCTCTGAGGTTCGGTTATTTTTGGGTTTTTTATTTTTTATTTTTTATTTTTTGGGGGGGGTTAATTCGGCTTGATTGGTGTTGTGGTTTCTTTTTTAATTTCTTTGAATGTGTGCTGAATTATAAGGTTTAAGGAAGTCATTCGATTCTGGAAGGGACTTTTGTGATGGGTTGATTTTCATAAATTGGTGTTTCTCGATAGAAAATTCTCAACTTTTTTGTTCTAGTTATGTTCGGAAATGGTTGTTCCGGCTTCGCTCTTTGTCGCCTGATTGTTAATGTCAGTTTGTGTGCGATAAAATGGATTCTCTTCATCTGAATCTTCACCCCACCCAGCACATGGAAAATAGAAATTATCTTTTTTTGTCATCCTGTCGTCTGGATTTTGTGGATTATTTTGATTTTTTTGCTGACGCTCTTTCAGGCCCTTGAACTTGTCTCTTAAGTTTGGTTTTATGCTTTAATCTGATGAAGCTTGTTTGGGGTGGGTTTAGGTGTTGGAAGTTGCTGGAAATGCTGCGAGAGACAACAAGAAGAACAGGATTGTCTCGAGGCACATCCAGCTTGCAGTGAGGAACGACGAGGAATTGAGCAAGCACCTGGATTCTGTGACCATTTCTAATGGAGGAGCGTTGCCCAAAATTCACTAACTCTGTTGCCGAAGAAGAAGGGCAAAGGAGGGGAGAAAAAAAAAAAGGGAAGAAAAAAAACGAAAAAGAAAATAAAAAAACCTACGTTAGCAATTTCCAGCTTAAATTGACCGGATAAACTCAATTGGTACCCAATGTGAAAATATTTTGGACTAAATTTATCTAATTAAAAAGTTTATGACTAAACTGGTATCGATACAATAGATTTAAGATTTTTTTTTGTACTTTTCCCCCTCCTAGTTTTATAAAGGTTCCTTTTTTGAGCTGTAGTGAATGTGAAGCTAAATTGAGTAGGGCCGGGCTCTTCAAGGTACACCACTTTTACTAGTGTACCCACTTTTAGGCCCATTTAGCTTAGTGTCCTCACAAGCGAGGAAAAAATATTGGGTGCAGCTGTGATTCCACGCTGACAAAATCCGAATCATTCACCAGGCGACACGTGTCACCCGTGCCCCACTGTATTAGAGCTGAAATTTTGAAAAAAAGCAAGACTCTCTCTCTTCTCCCTCCCAAGCTTCGACGTCCAGATTTGCACACACTCCCTCCTGACTCACGCCTCTGACAAGTGGACTCCATCGCATCCGACGCCGACGCCGACGCCGACGCCGACGCTGATGCCGACTCACGCCTCACGCCTCCGACGAGTGGACGACACGATGCCGACATCATTTCCAGATTTGCACTCTCTCTTTGCACTCGCGCACCCTCCCGACTCACGCCTTTGACGAGTGGACTCCGTTGCCTCAGATAAACCACGCAGATGCCAACGCCTCCGCCATGCCCTAGCCGATGCCTCGACCCTAGCCAATGTCAATGCCGTCGAGCACTAAGTAGAGAGAGTCTTGATTTTTTTCAAAATTTTAGCTCTGACACGTGGGACCTGGGCGACATGTGTTGCAATGTCTCTCGGTGAGTGACTCGGATTACACATGTCGCTCGGTGAGTGATTCAGATTTTGCCAGCATGGAATCATAGCCGCACCCAATATTTCTCACAAGCGAGTTTGTCACTAAGCTATCGACCAGGGGCTCCTTTTGATGTCCTTCTTTCCCTTACAGATGTCAAGAAAAATTTCCTTTTTGTGTATTAAAAGAGATGAGTGTATCCTTCTCTAAATGTTAGATACTAGAGCAATTCAAAAGTTCTTTTTATTAATAGTTTTCCCCGCAGCATTTCAATCTCTAAATAGAGATACTTCACTTCTTTGGTGAGCAGCTGTCACGCCTCGCACCCTATGAGTGCGTGATCATCCCTCGATGGTCGATCATTAAATGCGCCGTCCCAGGCACATCGCCGACCCAACCCAAACATCAAAGATTAGGCTCGTGCGGAAACAAATAGAAACAACCCAGACAATTAATAATGACAAGGGGTAGCAATAGCACGAAACAATAACGTAATTTCTACACTTGGGATATATACAACGTTCACAAAAGACAATCCCAAGCTAGGCCACAAAACGAACCACATTCCTCGAAGGACAATAGTTTGCAAACTTAACTCCTCTACAAAAGGGGAACTCAAAATACCGGATACTTGACCCGTCCTCGATCTCCGAGATACCCTTGCAGCGTCTCCAATCACTCATGGTCGCGGATATGAAATGGTTATATAATAACCGTGAAAACGAGTCTCAATAAGCAATCCCCTATACCCCACATAGGCCAATGCGTACCCAGACAAGTTGTACATGCAATCTACCCCATAACATATAAAATTCGTATCATTGTACTTACCTCGTCATCAAGCCCATGCCAACTCTGCACGTTAGTCACAACGTGATAATGCAATAATAGTAATTCAATAACACATCACAATCGCTCAAACACCAACCACACTTGTACTCAATTAATCCAATTAACTCAACCACACATCCAACCAGCCAATTCAATCACACGCTCAACCAGTCAATTCAATCACACTCAAATCGCATGCATGGCCGAACATCTTTCTCACGACCCGCGCCACTGCTCCTCATGTCCATTCTCACTGCCCGCGCTACTGCGCCTCAGGCCCATTTGGCACACCGGCCATTCATGCTTTCACACGGACCGCCGTCAACACGTCCCAAGTCCGTAGCCCTCCGATCAATCCGGGCTCAATTCTAATGACCGACGTAAACACGTCCCGGTCCAACACACCTTTAACGGGCCACCGTCAACACGTCTCAAGCCCGCATCCATTTGGCACACCGGCCATTCATGCCTTCACACGGACCGCCGTCAACACGTCCCAAGTCCGTAGCCCTCCGATCAATCCGGGCTTGTAATCGACAGGCATGCACACGCCACCCAATTCAATCAATTTCATGCCAATTGCACCAAACGATCCATATTCACAACTTAATCCAATTCACGATTCGCCACATCAACCCACAAACCCGACATTCAAGTCGGCCACACACGAACACCCAAATCATGCATATAATTTCCTCCAATCCAACTAACACAATTATATAATAATATAATCAAATTAAACCGTGCCCTAACCGTTCTAAACCCTAAACAAGTCTATAAAGTACCCAAAGTACTAGGTAGGGTTTAGGAAGTCACTTACTAGGTTTTGGCCCGGAGAAAATCGGCTCGGGCCTAAAATGGCCCGGGTGAACAGTGCCGGACTAGGCATGGGTGCGGGCCAAACGGGCGCGCTGGCCGGCCAACATGGGCACGGTGGCCGATCGGCGTGCTCGGCGCAGGGTGCGGTGGCCGAACGGGCGTGCCGGGCGCACGGCCCCGAGTGGGCCGCAGTAGACGAAATTTAAAGCGCCCGAGAGCTGGATGGGCGCGCGGCCTGGGCGAGCTCGGCCACGGCCTAGGCTGGCTGGCTTCGGCCATGGCATGGTGGCTGGCGGGACGGTGACGGCGGCGGCGACGGCGGCGACGGCGGCACGGCGCGGCACGCGCGGCGCGGGCGCAATGGGCGCGAGCGGCGAGCGGCACGGGACGATGACCTCGAGCGGCAAGCTAGGCGCGGAGGAGAGGGAGAGACCAGCCGGTCGGGGGTGGCGGCTGGCGAACGGTGCGCGGAGGTCGGGCGGAGCCTGACGGCCGGACGGCGACGCGGCGGCCAAACAAGCGGCGGCGGCGCGCGGCTAGGCAGTCCAGTCGGCGAGTTGCAAAAGGCAGAGGCGGAGCAGAACCAGTCGGCTAAGGAGAGAACAACGAAGAAGAAGAAGAGAAGAAAGAAAAGAAAAGGAAAAAGGAGGAGAGAGAAAGGAGAGAAGGGACGGGTCTGCATGGCTTAATGGGGGAGGGGATGTGCGCGGGCAGGGGGGCAGACGCGGCAGAGAGGAGAGAGGAGAGAGAGAAAGAGCCCAAAGTCAAACGTAATAATCGCGATCCAACGGCCCACTTTTAAAACCGAAAACGATCCAACGATCCAAATTAATCCTAGAATATAATAAGGGACAAATGCCAAATTAATTAAATCAAACTACCCAGAGGGAGGTCTACCAGTCCAAATTCGCACCTGGTCAAAAATCTACTTTTCACATATCCCGGGCAATCTCGAGGCTGGCCACAATAATATGGAACCTTCCAATTAAATTCGTCCCAAAACTCCGAGAAATTCGACACCAAAGTTTGGGCTCTAAATAACGGCCAAATTCGATCGAGCACGATTCTAGCGAAATCTCAATTTTAAAAACAATAACCGAGAGTGATCAGTTCCCGGGCAATATTTTACTATAAGCACACTGTCGAATTACACGTTTTATAAATCCAAAAAATGGGCCGAAATTCGGAATGTTACAACTCTTCCCCCCTTACAAAAATTTCGTTCTCAAAATTTACAATCCAACCAAACTATTCAAACAAATGGGGGTATTGGTGTCGCATCAACTCTTCACTTTTCCACGTCGCACCTTCGGTTCCATGGTGCTCCCAAATCACATTGACCATTGGAATTGTCTTATTCCGCAACACTCGTTCCATTCTGTCCTCGATCCTTATTGGCTTTTCCACGTACGACACTCTGTCGTCCACGTCTATTTCTTCATAATTTAGCACGTGGGTCGGGTCCGGTTCATACTTTCTTAACATCGACACGTGGAATACATTATGCACTTGAGATAAATTCGGCGGTAACGCGAGACGATAGGCTAAGGTACCGATTTTCTCTAAGACTTCGAACGGACCCACGTACCTCGGGCTCAACTTTCCTTTCTTGCCGAACCGTGACAATCTTCTCATCTGCAACACTTTGAGGAAAACGTGGTCCCCCACTTGAAACTCCAAAGGCCTACGTCTCCGGTCCGCATAATTCTTTTGGCGGCTCTGAGCGGTCTTAAGCCTGTCCCAAATCACCTTGACTGTTTCGACTGACTGCTGAACCAACTCGGGACCCGTGATACTCCTCTCACCCACTTCATCCCAACAAACCGGTGTTCTGCAAGCTCTGCCGTATAGTGCTTCGAATGGTGCCATTCTGATACTCTGTTGATAGCTATTGTTGTAGGCGAACTCGACCAAATGTAATTGTTCCTCCCAACTGCTCTTAAAATCCAACACACACGCTCGTAGCATGTCTTCCAGAGTCTGAATCGTCCTTTCAGACTGGCCATCCGTTTGGGAATGATAGGCCGTGCTAAACTGTAACTTCGTTTCTAATGATGTATGAAGACTTTTCCAAAAGGCGGCAATAAATATAGGATCACGGTCTGAAGTGATTGTCACTGGCACTCCGTGCAGACGAACTATTTGTCGCACGTAAATCTCGGCATACCTTTCCAAGGCGAAGTCCTTTCGCACTGGCAGAAAATGTGCTGATTTTATCAATCGATCGACTACCACCCAAATCGAATCATGACCCCTTTGACTTCTCGGTAATCCCATCACAAAGTCCATCGTGATGTGTTCCCACTTCCACTCGGGAATTTCCAATGGCTGCAACATTCCACCCGGCTTGCAATGTTGCGCCTTCACTTGCTGACATGTTAAACACTTGGCCACGTGCTTGGCTACATCTACTTTCATGCCGTTCCACCAATAATTTTGTCGCAA